CAGCCGTGGTTGTGGGGGTGCGTGGAGGGGTGAGCGGCGGTTAGTGGGTGTAGAAATGTCTTCTCCTCTCCCTCTCTCTTCCTAAGCATCAAATTTCCCCATTTCCCCTCCCCCCTGGTAGTGAGGACTGAGAGCAGTAGGCGACCAAACTCGTCCCCGCCACTCAGTCCCCCTAAGCCGCACACCCCTCCCCCCTGGTAGTGAGGACTGAGGGCAGTGGACGAACAACTCGCCTCCGCCATTCAGTCCGAGTGGACCGGAAAGACTGAGTTTTGTGCCCAAAAACTGGGCTTATACACGGGAAGAATGCTGGCGTAGCCAAGGTGGGAGGTGTATAGATGACCTCAAGAGGCTGTAAAATGCGCCCACCCTACACGTTACACATCACATAAGCATGACCTGAAAAACCGTAAAAATCCTCCCCCCTACTTTTTTTAACTTACGCTGGCACCACATTCAAACTACTGCCATCCGCCGTGGGGCAACCGCATCCACCTTGCAAAAAAATTTTTTGCAGCTCGTGTAAGAGACGAGCCGAGCCGAACCGTGCCGGGCCGTGTTTTAGCAATATACTACGCTAGGCTTGGGTTCGAGCTGCGGAAATCGTGGTACAGGTTTTTTATTGTCTGGCTGAGGTTCTAGGTGACACGTTCGGGACTGTCTTGTTTTGGTTTGAGCACAAAAAATCTACACAAATCCTCCTGTCCCATAAGCTTTGCAGTCAGTAGCCCCATTCCGTTTCCTCCGTTACGACCTGCGAACTCGAACTACCGTCTCAATCCTCTTCAAAGAGCCATCCCTCTGTGCCCAACCGGTCAGTGGAGCTTGGTTTGGCCGAACCGAGTTTTGCTAGTTGCCGTTTGCGTTCAGGTCGAGTGGAGTCTGTGCAATGCTGTCACGGGGGTTGGCTAGGCTTGTTCCTTTTCGGTTAGTTTTTTACGTACGTGGACGGTGAATGAGACATGCGGGAGTAGTGACCGTCTGCCGCTAATTCGTGAGACACCGTCTGCCGCTAATTCGGAGTGGCGCTTCTGCGGTGCAGGCTGAGTAGCTCACCGGGCTCAGTGCGGTCTTGTAGGTGTTGTTGCATCATCGGGCTCTATCAACGGGGCTCTCCTGCTGCTCCGCACGCTTCTTCGCGTCCCACGTCTTTTCCGGCGAAATGCCACTGCAATGCAATAAGTTCAGTGGTTTCGCCGACACTTTTCACAACGGCCACGAGCAGTCCTGGGTGGAGGAGAACTGTCAAGTGTGTGGAGCTGTGGAGGCCCGGGTCAAAGGCAAGCCGATGTGTCTCGCATCGTAAACTGTCATGCAGAAACCGCGACCGAGTATCACAGAGGTTTGCTTATGAAGCTAACACACATACACACACATACACATGCACACACACACACACACACACACGCACACAGACACGCGCACAGGCTACTCATTTAACGGAGTTTTCTGTGGCATTGAAGAGCTACTCCAGACATCCGTTTCTGTGTTTGCTGTGAAACGTCTGGCTGGATGGGAAGTCGCGCCACCGGCTGGTGGTCGCTGTTGGCCACATGAAAAGCTAAGCTGTCTTTTTGCGGTATTTTTTCGTGGTTTATTGGGCCTGTCGGGGATGTGTTCTGCAAGAATGCGCTCCAAATTGCTGCTGCTGCAGCAGCAGGGAGTGCGCGTTGCGAGCAATGGCAAGCATAAGGAAGTGGGACGAGACGAAGACGGTGGCCGAG